CTATAGAACACTCCACCCAAGAACAGTAGAATACACATTCTTCCCAAGTACACATGGAACATTCTCTAAGATAGACCATATTATATAGGCCATAAAACAAATCTTAATAAATTTAAAGAGGATTGATATCATGCAAAGTATGCTGTCCAACAACAATGGAATTAGATTAGAAATCAATAACAGAAGGAAATTTGGAAATTCACATATATGTGAAAATAAAATAACATTCCTAAATAACCAGTGGGTCAAAGAAGAAATCACAAGGAAACTTAGAAAATACTTAAATGACTGAAAACAAAAACACAACATGCCAAAACATTTGGGATACAGCTAAAGCAGTGCTTGGAGGGAAATTTATAGCTGTAAACATCTATATTTAAAAAAAGAAGAAGAAAGATTCCAAATCAATAATCTAACCTTCCACTTTAAGAAACTAAGAAAAGAAGAGCAAACTAAACACACAGCAAGAAGAAGGAAGGAAATAATAAATATTAGAGGAGAAATTAATGAAATAGACTATAGGAAAACAAAAGAGAAATCAACAAAACCTAAAATTGGTTCTTTGAAAAAATAAACAAAATTCAAAAACTTTAGCTATAATTTACCAGGAATAATGGAGAGAAGACTGAAATTACTAAAATCAGGAATGAAGAGGGAACATTACTATCAATCTTACAGAAATAAAAAGGATTATAAGGGAATACTATGAACAACTGTACACCAAAAAAAATTAAGTAACCTAGATGAAATGGACAAAATCCTAGGAAGATACAAACTACTGATACTGACTCAAAAAGAAATAGAAAATCAGACTAGACATATAGCAAGAGATTGAATTAGTTAAAAAAAAATCAGCCTTCAACAAAATTAAAAATGTTTGTACTTCAAAGGACACCATCAAGAAAATGAAAAGACAACCCACAGAATGAAAGAAAATGTTTGCAAATCATATATCTGATAAGGAACTTGTACCCAAAATACATAAATAACTTTTACAACTCATCAACAACAAGACAAATAACCCAATTTAAAAATGAGCAAAAGACTTGAATAGACATTTCTCCAAAGATACACACATGGCCAATAAGCACATGAAAAGATGCTCAACATCATTAGTCATTAGGGAAATGCAAACAAAAACAACAATGAGATACCACTTCATAACCACCAGAATAACTATAATAAAAAAATGGACAATAATAAGTGTTGGCAAGAATGTGAAGAAATTGGAACCTCACGCACTGTTGGTAAGAATGTAAAATGGTACAGCCGCTGCGTAAAACAGTTTTGCAGTTCCTCAAAAAGTTTAACAGACAGTTAACACACAACCCAGCAATTCCACTCCTAGACATATACTTAAGATAATTGAAAACATGTCCACATAAAAACTTGTACACAATTGTTCATAGCTGCATTATTACTAATAGACAAAAATGTGGAAATGACCCAAATGTTAATCCACTAATGAATGACAATCAAAAGCATATCCATTTGGTTTACTGGGTTTGAAGGCTTAGGACATGGGACAACCTGTCTCCTGGGACAACTTGATCAATTGGCATAACATAGTTCATAAAGTTAATGTTATACATTCTAGTTTTGTGAGTAGCAACTGGGTACTTAAAAGCTCGTGCTCAGCCATCTAAGATATAACTATTGGTCTCTACTCATCTGGAACAAAAGAGAACGAATGAAACCAAAGACTCAAAGAAAAAACTAGTCCACAGGACTAAAAGCCCACATGAACCATGCCCTTATCTAGCCTGAGACAAGAAGAACTAGATGGTGCCTGGCTACCATGACTGACCATTCTGCCCAGGGACACAATAGGAGATCCCGGATAGAATGGGAGAAAAATGTAGAAAAAACCCCTCAAATTCCTAAAGAAGGGTAGACTTACTGGACCAACAGAGACTAGAAGAATCTCTGAGACTATCGCCCTAAGATACTCTTTGAATTTGGAACTGAAGCCATTCCTGGTGCTCACCTTTCATCCAAATAATAGATTATCTTATAAAATAAACCATATCACCCATGAGTACTATGTTCCCTTAAATAATAAACTATATAAGACCAAACGGTCAACATTTATCCTAAAACAAAGATGAGACGCTAAGGAGGTACAGGGAAACTAGATTAATGGAAACAGAACAAACAGAACAGAAATAATGAGAATGTTGACACATTGTGGAAAATGTAACCAATGTCACACAACAAGCTGTATAAAAATTATTAAATGGGCGCCTAATTTGTTGTGTAAACTTTCACCTAAAACACAATAAAATATTTTTAAAAAAGCATATCCATACAATGGAATATTATTCATTCATAAAGAGAAATGAAGTACTATACACACCTATGATCATTGCAGCATTATTCACAATAGCAAAAAGATGAAAACAACCTTAGTGCCCATCAACAGATGAATGGATAAACAAATTGTGGTACATACATACAACTGAATACTACGCAACTATAAAGAATAACGAGGAGTCAGTGAAATACCTTCCAACATGGATGAATCTGGAGGACACTATGCTGACTGAAATAATCACAACAGGACAAATATTGTATGATCCCACTGTTATAAAATGTCAACAATAGATGTACACACAGAAACTAACGTTCTTTGATGGTTACCAGGGATGGAAGGGGAGGGGGAGGGAGAGGGAATCTCTTTCTAGATAGTAGACAGTTGTTATTTTTGGTGATGGGAAAGGCAATACCAACTATGATGAAGTCCACGCAACTTGAATAAATGAAGACAGTAAGAAGTACACATGAAAAAGGGACAATTTTGGTAAATGCTATAACATATACAATTTTTCAACAACAGTAATAACAACCAAAATATATGTATATGGTTTCATAGGTAGATATGTATGATATATGTGTATAGGAAGGCATATGTGAGTAAATGCATGTGCATATATAGGTGTATGTATAGGCATATGTATATACAGGTTTGTGCGTGCTGCATATATATCCATATATATAATAAAGCGCACAGGGGGCGTAGTTACAGAGACTTTGTAGACATATCCAAACAACTCTTGGGATTAGTTTGCTAGGTTAAAAGATTTAGGACCATAGTCTCGGGGGACAACTTAGTCAATTGGCGTAACATAGTTCATAAAGATAATGTTCTACAGCCTAGTTTGGTGAGTAGCGTCTGGGGTCTTAAAAGCTTGTGAACAGCCATCTGAGATACAACTATTGGTCTCTACTCATCTGGAGGAAAAGAGAATGAAGGAAACCAAAAACTCAAAGAAGAAAACTAATCCACAGGATTAATAGCCCACACGAACCACGGCCTCTTCTAACCTGAGACCAGAACTAGATGTTGTCCGGCTACCACTACCTACCATTCTGCCCAGGGACACAATAGAAGATCCTAGATGGAATAGAAGAAAAATGGAGAACAAAATTCAAATTCTTAAAAAAGGCCAGACCTACCGGACAAATAGAGACTAGACGAACCCCCGAGACTATCGCCCTAAGACATCCGTTGAACTTGGAATTGAAGCTATTTCTGCAGGTCACCTTTCAGCAAAATAATAGATTGCCTTGTAACACCCGTGAGTAATGTGCTCCCTGAAACAATCAACTATATGAGACCAAACGGTCAACACTTACCCAAAAGCAAAGGTGAGAAGGCAAGGAGGGGAAGGGAAGCTAGATCAATGGAAACAGAATAAACAGAATGGAAATAATGAGAATGCTGACACATGGTAAAACTTGTAACCAATGTCAAGGAACAATTTGTATAAAAATCATTAAATGGGAACCTAATTTGCTGTGTAAACTTTCACCTAAAACACAATAAAATATATTTTTTAAAAAGAAATGAAGTACTGACACATGCTACAACATGGATGAACCTCAAAAACATATAAAATGCCCAAAATAGGCAAAATCCATAGCGACAGTAGTTGCCAGGGGCTGGGGGCAGGGGGAAATGGGTTCAGGTTTCTTCTTGGGGTGATGAAAATGTTCTGGAATTAGATAGTGGGGATGGATGCACAACCTAGTAAATAGACTAAAAACCACTGAATTATCTACTTTAAATGGGTGAATTTTATGGTATGTCACTATCTCCATAACAATTTTTTTAAAACTACATTGAGATTTTTGCTTACTAAATTACCAAAGAGCTAAAAAGTCTGATAACACACTGTATTGAAGAAGGTGTTCTGAAACAGGCACTTTCATGCCTTGTTAATGGTAGTACAAATTGTATAAATTGGCACAACCATTACAGAGATAATTCTGATACCATCAGAAGTTTGACTGACCCAGCAATTCCACTTTTAGGAATTTATGCTTCAGCTATATCTCACAGGCATAAAATGACACGTGTATGATACCCATCACAGCAGTATTTTTAAAGCAAAAAACTAACAACCTAAATGCCCATCCATAGGAAACAGGTTAAATTAACTAAATAGTGGCACATCCATACAGTATAATACGATGCAGTGAAAAAAGGAATGAGGAAGCTCTTTATGTACAGACATAATAATCTCTGGCCTGTATTGTTAAGAGAAAAACGCAAGATGCAAAATAGCATGTATATCGTGCTACACTTCATAAACAAGAAGAGAGGGAGAATATATATATTTTTCTTGCAGATGCATAAAATATTTTTGTGGGAGTAACTGAATAGCTGGGGGGGTCAGCTGTGGGAGGAAGATGTTTCACTGTATATATTTTTTTTTTTTAAATATAGAACTATGTGAAGTATTACCTATTAAAATTTTTAATTAAAACAGAATAAAAAACAGTAATCAGCTAAAAATTGTAAAATGAGAAAAATTATAAAACAAAACAAAACATCACCAATATGCCTAACTTTCCATTAACTATCTAGTTTCTGATATTGGATTGTTGTAAGGTAGATTTTCCAAAGCGAAGTTGCCTGTACTCTCTCTGGTCTCAGGTCAAGCAGGCAAACTAACCAAGGTTCCATTATTTCTCTGACATGTACAGAATAGTCTCACCATCATTTATGGTAATATTAGCAAGATCCACAATCTTATTGGGAAGTCCTTGAAGCAATCTGCATTGTTTAAACTTTGGTTTTTCCCACTGAGATTTGCCAGTGTTGATACTGATTGAACTGTAAAAGAGAGGAGAGAGGAACAAAAGGTATTATCCAGTTTTCTCATTGGAGGATGATGCAAGGACAGTCTTAAAGTAAATAATGAATGGACAGGTGTTATCTTTGGCATGCCTCCCCTTTGCCCATCCTCGTCTCCTGGCTGAGACAGAACAGGCTAGAGCTAGTATTTCTTTGAAAAGTAAAGAAAACTTTGCTTTCGGAGAGCAAATGAATCTAGGGCCATAATGCAAGAGCGGTTTGGAGAGAGGGGGAAAAGCAGGCAAGAGAGCCTGGGAGGAGGCATAGCAATGTCCAACTGGCCGAGAGTCAAGGAAAAGATTTTGCCCCTGTGGACATGGCTTCTTACTCTCACTTTCTCTTCTTACCCCTATTTTAAGGGGACATTCCTATTGGAATGTGGTCTCTAGCATATTAATTTACACAAGGTGATTAATATAGCACCCTCTATAGTCATCGGCCCTCATCATCCACCCGCCCCCCTACCCAGCTTGTTTCAATTCTGCTAACACATTGATTGAGCGCCCACTACGTTCTAGGAATGATGCAGGTAGCACAGACAAACAGAGCAGGGTCTTGTCCCTGGAGGAGCTTACAATTAGGTGGCTTGAGACTCTAAATGTAATTGTCCTAAAATTAGGTAAAAGGTGATATGAGAAGCTGTATAAACAAAGGTGAATCTATCAAACCACCAAGCATGAAAAACTTATTTTCAATTTTTGAGCTGAGCTGGGCTTTGAAAGGACAGAGCTGGAAAAAGGTCCTCCAAGTGGAGCAAACAGCATAAGCAGAGGAAGAGACACAAGGAAGTGCCCCCTGATTCCAGAATGCCAAATGGTTCTCTTTGGCTGAAGCCCATGGTAAGGAAGGGAGACTACTGTATGAGACAGTAGGAAAGGAAGCCTGTGGGTCTTGGGTGCTGTATTTATTTAGGAGTTTGGACTTAATTCTTGAGGCAGGGTGCAACTTGAGCAGAAGAGTGACAAGATGGCAGTCATACTTTAGGAAAATCACTCTGGACACACTGTGCAGTATATTGGGAGACTATGGACCATTAGCAGGCAGGCAACTAATGGTAGGCAAGAGATAGGGGTTTGAACCAAGGCAGGGGCAGGGAGATTGAAAAGTCACATCTGGCAGTGAGGCTAGATGTGAGCTCTGGCTGTGACAGTGAATGGTGCATGCCCAGACACAAAAGGGCAAACACTGTATGATTCCACTTAGGTAAAGTGTCTAGACTAGGCAAATGCATAGAGACCGAAGTTTATGAGTGGTTACCAGGGGCATGTGGGACAGCGAGGAAAAGAGTGAGTCACTGCCCAGGAGGCACTGAATTTCTGTTAAGGGTGATGGATAATTTTGGAAACATATATTGGGGATGGTTGCACAACATGATAAACATAATTAACGCCACATGTAAAAATGGTTGAAATGGCAAATGTATGGTTATATATATTTTGCCACAATAATTGTTTTTTAAAGTGGCATGCCTTGCTGACTAATTAGATGTAGGGAGGACAAGGTAGGAGGCAGTTCAAGATGTCTCCTTCCAAAAGAGAGCTTTGAAGCCTCTGTCAAAACCTGCTGTTTCTCTGGTCTTGCCCACTTCAGTTAATGGCATAAACCATTAATAGCAGAGAGTAAGAAAAGAGGGGCTGCTGATGTAAGAAAGAAAAATGATGAAGTCAATAACAGAAGAGTGATTTAGTGAATTATTACGGCCATCAACGAGATCGCTTCTGAGGCAGTTTTTCAAAATGATCATTAAGAAGATGAATGTAAAAACATGGAAAATGTTTGATAAACCATTGAGTGAAAAGGTAAATTACATTTCTGGTATAAAGACAGTGATCACTACTACATAAAACTTAAAGGCAGGCAGAGAAAGGCTAGATGAGAAAATATGCCAATCTAAAACAGCTGTGTTCCGGTAGTGGCATTATGGGTGCCTTTTTGCTCTTTTTTTCTGCTTGAAAATTTTTCTGGAATGCTGTGATGTTGTATGTGTAGCCTTAAGTAGATCCAGAAAGAGAGAGAGAAAGAAGGGAGGGAGGAAAGAGGGAAGGAGGGGAAGAGGGAGAAGGCTGGCATAGAAATGGAGGGAGGGAGCATACTCAGACCCATGACATTGAAACATGCCCCAATTAAGTGGATGTTTGTGTATCTGAACTAGCAATTAGAACTTGGCTGATACATACCAGATTCTAGTAGCTTTTCCATCCTCATTTTTTATGCATCTAGTTTGGGCTGTCTCAGTAGGGTTGGTTAATAGCCACTTATATGTCCCTTTGAATTTAGAGGCTGTTTCAACGGCTTTGCACTTTCCTGGCTCTAAAGAGAAAATGTATGCACATTTTAAAGGGCAAAAGGCACTTAAAAGTATCATGAACAACCATTAGGACCTATCACTATTACCCTGCACATAAACATCAGCAAATAAAAGAGGATACTTTTTTTATACCAGGTCGTTTAAACTAGGCTTCACTGAAAATAGCATTAAATAGTCTCTCTTTTTTTTTTTTAATAAGCCATGTCAGTATAACAGTGCATTTAATCCTTTCCATTAAAACCACCAGTGGACAAAACATTTTTTGGTTTTTGATTTTTACAAAATGATACATATCCATTGGGAAAAAAAAATTCAAGCCACACAAAGGGGTCTAGAGTGAAAATCAAAAGTCCCCACTTGCCCATCGCCCGCCTTCCTAGGTAAACCAGTTACCATTGAGTCACTTCCAACTCATGGTGACCCCATGAGTATCAGAGTAGTACTGCACTCCATAGGGTTTTCAATGGCTGATTTTTCGGAAGTAGATGGCCAGGCCTTTCTTCTGAGGCACCCTGGGTGGATTTGAACTGCCAACCTCTCAGTAGCCAAGTGCTAAACCATTTGCGCCACCTAGGGCACCTTCCTGCCTAGGTACCTACTATTAATTACCAAACTAATTGGTATACAAGGGCAGGAGAGTGTAGGCCGACTTCTCTTACTGAGTAACTCCTCTCTTCTTAGTGGACTCTGGGGTGGTTTTTGTTTCAGTAAACTCAATGTATCTGACATCACCAATATTGACAGAGAAGCCCTGCTCTGAGGTTGGTGCTGAGGGACAGAACTAACAACCCTCCCCCAAGGGCAGCTAGGGCAAGGTTTTGCTGCCTACCATTGTCACACAGAGGGAGATGTGATAAGACCACCCACTGGGTGCACGACCCTGATTCTGGAAATCATTCCCTCAGGCGTTGACAGAGTGGTCCAAGCAGTGGCCCAGCCAGCCTTGCCCAGTCATCCCAGTCTCCTCTCCGTGGGAGGAGGAAAGCTGGCTTCCTCTCACTCTCAGGACGCTTTCATTAGCATCATCCGTATGGTGGGCTCTTCCTGTTGCTTCAATGCTTCTCTGCCTTCCATCCCTCACCCACCTTGCGTGATTACTGACTGCCCTGTACTACTTAATTAGTTTGTTGCCAAGGATTGTGCATTCGAGTGCCTATGTGTGTTATCTGGGTTAGCTCAATGTTTTCACTGCTGTCTGTTGGGAAAAAGGAACAAAGCTGGCAGAGATGGGGAAGGAGGTAGAGTGGCCTGGTAGCCTTTCTCTTTTACCACTAAATCCTTGCTAATCTGAAAAGAAAATGCCCAGGAGAGAAACCTGGGACAGTTCCCAGATCATTTTCCAAGATGAATAAGCTGGCTGAGTCAATCAATAAATTAGGGAGTATCTATAGGGCATTTATTGTGTGCAGGGAGGAAGCTCCCCAGGTCTCCGGATATTTATGCAAGAGAGACAATGCTCTCACTCTGTTGATAAACTGTCCACTGCTAACATCCAGAGCTGATCCATGGTCTCCGTAACCCCTCCGGTGCTGTTTTTTCAGACACTCTTAAATGTAGAAAGGTTGTCAGAGCAAGTGGGCACTGAGGATGTGGAAAGGAACATGAAGGTGGCTTCTCTGCCCGCTAAACTCAGGTTCCCTTACTAGGCATTATGGGCTTGATAATAAAGGGAGTGAATTCATACCAAAATAACCCCCTCAAAAAAATAATTACCTAGTTTTTTTACTGCAACATGTTCAGACTTTACTAATAATGTCAACTGATCCTGTGTGAAGTTTCCATGGGTGAGGCTGCCATGTATTTTGCTTTTGATGTTGTTAATCAATTCAGTGGGTGCTAAAGGAGAGTTGGCCTTTATGATGACCTGACAAACACAGCTAAAAAGGAGAGCAAACAAAGAAAGACACTGCAGTTATGTCAACAGAGTGTGACTCGGCCTATGGTGCTGAAATTCTGTACAGCTGACTTAACTGGTAGTCCACAAACATCAAACATTTTAAGCGGAAAACCTTAAGAAACCAAAAAAAAAAAAAAACAAAAAACCCAGACAACTCAAAACCTATTTTCAAAAGAACAGTCAGCAAGATTTGCGTTATGTTGAAATTGACTAGGCACGCAATTTCCCTAGAAGTTTGCAATCCTTAACAGAGAAGAGGGAATACTCAGGATTTATTACTTCAGAGAAAACCTTTTATCTTTCTGATCTCCAATTTATCCATCATTATGACAATAAGGCAAATAGGCACACGCTCGATTAGTTTATAAAGATGTGTTCCGCAGAAGGCCTGTTTCATAATAGAGTAATGATGATAGTAATTAACATTTTTGGAGCTCTTTTTCCACGTTTTGACTCATTTTATCGTCACAAGAACCCTATGAGGTGAGTGGTATTATTATCTCCATTCTACAAATGCACTGCTGAATATTCTGTCCACTAAAAGACATTTTATGAAAGAAGAAGGTTGTCCATGACCTCAACCTCCATAGCAAGGTCCTCAAACATTCTAACTTCCTCTAATATCCCTTTAAAGAGCTTATTTCAGATTCACAAACTTACCTATATATATGTGTATATATATATATATTTTTTTTCATTTCCATTTATAGATACATCTTTTTGAAGAACACATTTCCAAAGTTTCCTATCAGTTGTAGAAAGTGAGATGCACCTATATTTGCTCAAAACATCTGTCTATGTCCAGTCTAAGCGATACTTCCCCCTCCTCTGATCCATATTTGTTTGGTAAAGTCCCTGCTCATCCTACCCATTCCACTTGCAGTTTATCTCGTCTCAGCTTTCATCTTTCTAGTCTGAAGAGGATTTCTCTTTTTAAATTTCTTCTCTTGCTTGCAACAGACCTCTAGCATCCTAAAAATTCCAGTTACCTTTCCATGAACGTTTTTGGCTATTATGTCCTTCTTAAAAGCCGTCACAGCCAGTGATCAGGGAAGAGCTGGAGCACGAGTCTGAACAGGACCAAGGCTGCTCCATGTTGCCTTTCAATTTCCTTGCTCAGTATTTTGTGGACCTTTTTGACCATAACGAACACTTTATTCCCCCACCCCCAAATTATGGCCACTTTGGACCCCATTTTCTCTTCACTACAAAGAGGCAGCAGGCAGGCTGCTACGCTGTGCTGTGACCAACCGAAACAACTTACTTCATGAAGGCAAGAGCCCAATTACAGCATCTGTAAAATAACCACCGGGTACTTTGATCTCCTTCTGACAACTCTGACCAACAGGCTGCACATACAGAATTAAATGGAAGGAAAATCAGAACTAAATGTACTGGCTATGAATAAACCCAGCTCTTACCTGTATGGTACACAGGAAATTGTAGCCATTCCTTGCCCTTCTCTCTGTTCCAAATGACGCAAAAGCAAAGTACATAGTCACTGAAATCTTTAAACCAATGTCACCATTGAGTACAAGGCTTATTGTTAACAACAACAATCATAATTACACTTTACATTTATGTAACCCATTGCCATTTTCAAATCACCTTCAAAAACATCAACGCATTCAGTCCTCACACCAACCTGTAAGATGGAGGAACTGTTGCCCCATTTTCTAGCTGAGAAAGCCGAGTCTTAGAGAAGTTAAATGATCTGCCCAGCATCATACAGGAAACCAGTCACAGTACTGGGAGTGGAATCCAAGCCTTCTGGATCTGGGTACTAGCATGACGATGATAACAGTAACCACTATCAAGCATTTACTATGTTCTAAGCACTGAGCTGAGGGCAGCGGTGGTGCAGTGGCAGAATTCTTGCCTTCCATGAGGGATACCCAGGTTCAATTCCCAGCCAATGCACCTCATGTGCAGCCACCACGCATCTGTCTCTGGAGGCTAGAGTGTTCCCATAATGCTGAACAGGTTTCAGCAGAGCTTCCAGACTAAGATGGATTAGGAAGAAAGGCCTGGTGATCTGTTTCTGAAAATCAGCCAAAAGTAGATCACCAGGCCTTTCTTCTGAGGTGCTGAGCACATTAACCATTTGCACTGCATTGGAATAAGTACTGAGAACTGGGGAAAGGGTTTATTGCATCACTCTTGGAAGAGCCAGGCTTTTTTGCAAGATGTCTACTACCAAGAAATCCCATCGACCTTTTACAGTTCCCAAGTCATTCCACAGTCCCATAGGCCACAAAATATGCCTCAAAACACTGCCATATGGATAGTTCAAAAAAGCAGAAAATGGTTTTTTTGATGAGTTTTTGTGCCCAACCCAAGGAAAGTAACATAATTTTATCCTCAATTACCAAAAATGAGCCTTGCCCAATAATATACACCTGGTGGAAGAGTTATTTATTTATCTCTAATGGAGTCCCTGGGTGGTGCAAACAGTTAACACACTCGCTACTAACTGAAAGGTTGGAGGTTCAAGTCCACCCAGACGTGCCTTGGAAGAAAGGCCTAGTGATCTATTTCTGAAAAAATCATCCATTGAAAACCCGATGGAGCACAGTTCTACTCTGACACACATGGGGTTGCCATGAGTCAGAATTGACCTGATGGCAACTGGTACTGGTAATCAGGTGCTGAATGGGTCACAAGTAGATTCGTTTTGAAAAATTACTTACAAAAGCTTGGTCCATTTCTTCCTCAGGCATGTCACTGTAACAAAAGCAACAGAAAATTACAGAAAAAGTAAATGTAGTACTAAATACATGAGGACATAAGATCAGGAGAAAGACAACTTTGAGGCAGAACAGTAGAACCCCCAAGCTTGGGATTCAAACAGTGAAAGAACTCCAAGGGAACACTTTGAAAGAGCTGGCTTGTTATTTGCAGATCAGAATGGTGGTTAGCCTTTGACTCAGCAATCCCACTTCCAGGAACCTATCCCATAGCAGTACCAGTAAAGGTACATAAAAATATACACACAAGGGAGGAAATAACCCGAATGTCCACCACTAGGTAATTGGATAAATACATTATGGTACACCCACACAAAAGTTTCCTATTCAGCCATGAAAATGAATAAACTAGACCTGTATGTATTGGCCTGAAAAGATGTATATGATGTATTCTAAAGCAAGAAAGGAAAGTTATAAAACAGTATGTAGAGTTGGATGCCATTCTCTTAGTAAATGCATGGAAACAAATATAGAAGAATATACAAAAAAAAAAAAAAAAACAAAAAACCTGTTACCAGGAGTTCTTGATGGTGGGGGGTAGTTTCTGGAAATTTTCACTATCCATGTTATATATTTCTATAAAGCTTTGTGATTTTATAATGGCCACTTACTACTTTTGTAATAAAGAAAAATAATAGACACATTTTTTAAAAGAATGTTGTATATTCCAAACATCCCTAATTTTCTTTCAATAATCTATCATGGATTTACATACATTAATTTATATGAACCTTCTTGAACCTATTTATATCTGAACATGTCAGAGAAACCAAATCCCAGTGTGTAGAAAAAGGCAGCCACACGTAGTATTTTAAAAATCAACTTACCATGGTATACAGAGGCACGCCTATTCATCAAAGAGCTGCTTCTGGGCTGTCCTTTAACAGAATGACTAGTATATGTACAAGGCAAGAGCAGAGGAAATACTTCTCAGATGACCGATTGCCTTTGCCGTGGTCTTGTTGATATTACTCAGAGCCTACGGATTTCACTGCAATCACCTTTCTAAATTTGGGCCCGAGCAAGTCTTGGACTATTCAGCATTCCTCACTTTAAATATTTCAAGTTCCCTTTGGAATTTGTAATTCTTGCAAGTGCACTGTCCTAAAATAAAACGCCCTATAAATCCTCATGCATTGGCCATCCTCACCTTTCACCCTTTTAATACATGATTAAAAACAAAACAAAACAAAACACATCATCATAGAGTTTTAGAGTTCAACATCATAGAATTTGAGAGTACAAGGGACCATTAGAGGTAACTCGGTCCAATTCCACTGTTTCTCCTATTTGTTTTCTTCTATTTTGTTCTCCTACTGGCTTGGCACCCTACAGTAATCATGCAAATTTCTTCTTCATTCCGGAAAGGACTTACATTCGGAAGTGAACATGTGACTAAAAATGCAGCAGTCCCTAAGACTCAGACATAAACAAAGGAAATCCTCTTTGGATATGAACAGACATGTTCCCAGATATGCCCTCAAACTGTCCTTCGACCCACTGCACATGACACTCACATACCTGCTTTTAATTTGGATAGCCAGATTAGCAAGAGAAAATTCACTGTCTTGAAATACAAAATTCAACTGTAAAAGACAAAAAAAAAAAAAAAAAAAACCCATCAGTGTTAGCATTCCCGCTCCTCTGTCTTAACCCAGCAAAGTCACCTGGGACAATGTGATCATTAGGCTGCATTCATTATTGCAGTTGGCTCAACGTTTCCATCAGCTCCACTCATTTTTCAATTTACATTTTACTCACCTATTTTCAAGCACTATAATCGTGTCATATACACTTCAAAATAAATGCTGATGGGGAGAGTGGGAAAACAGACACTATCAGTCACTATTGGTAGGGGGCACAAATTAGTATAACAAATCTGGAAGGCAATTTCACGATAGCTATTAAAACGTAAAATGCTCATGCCCTTTGATCTTGCAATTCCAATTCTAGGAATTTATCCTATAAACATACTCAAGTGCCTCCAAAATTTATTACAATAACATCATTTTCAGTATTGTTTCTAAACAGGGAAAAAAATAGAAACTACCTAAATGTCCACCAGTGGATGTCTGTATTAAAAGAAAAACAACTAAATCACAACCATCTAGCAAAATCCTATGCATCTGTTAAAGTGTTTGAGGTAGATCTGTATTTACCAGCATGAATATACTTAAAGATACATGATTAAGTGGAGAAAAAGCAAGTCTCAGAATAGCATAATTAGTATGATTCCACTTATTTTTTTTAAAGGAACATATGCATCGATGCTATTATATGTATAGGAAAAAAATCTAAAAGAATTAGGAGGAGTTAATGTAAGGAGCGGTATGAGAAAGGACATTCATTTACTTTCTGGGTTTCAGATTTCAATGTCTGAATTTTTTACAAAGAATATACATTACTCTTATTACCAGAAAAATAAGGATAAATAAAACATCACATGGGAGAGAGGGAAAAAATTAAAATGCAGAAAACAAAAATATTTAAATACAATGGCATACACTTTGTCATCACTGCTCTCCCACCTTACCCAAATAGGAAAATTTGGCAAAGACTCAGATAATTCGTGTCAGTGGAAGGAAATGTACAGATTTAAGCAAATTAAAATAATAACATCCCATAAAGGCTTACAACATTGGCACTATGGAATAGAAACTGCATACACCCTCACGATGCTGCTTACAGAGGGGGTAGATTTGCAGCAAAAAAAAAAAAAGCAAGCTGTGAAATGGATTATGGGTAGAAAAAAATAAAGCCTAGTTTTCATCTACTCAGTCTCTCTCTCTAAATATATATATACACACAATCACATATATTTATATGTAGCGTAAATATTCAAAAAGTTATTTTACCCAATATTCTGCAAATTTGTTTATAACACTGGTAATAGGGATCCTTGGCTCTCCATCAAAGACTGAGAAGCTCATTTCAATATTGTAGAAGGAAACTGTAATTTAAAATAAGAAGATTAATTTTATCCTTTTATTTGGTTCAACAAATTTGACTTGCTGTAAATTTGGTCAAATGTGATTTCCATTTTAAAGCAAACTGAACAGTGATGCCTCATTCTTAATCTTTGGTTAACTCCAAGAGCAAGAGCCAGCACTTTTGGCCGTATATCCAAAAGAAAAACAAGATGTTACCATCCACTTTTTGCTTTAATTAGTTCAGCAGTTCCCTGCTTTCCACACAGTTGATGCACATTCTACAAAGCTCCCCAAATCCTCAAATTTCATTGGCCAACAGATTTCCAGTCCATTCAGTGGCCAAGCTGAATATTATCTCACAAGATCATTTGTACTGAGACAACAATTATTTCTTCCTGTGCCTTCCTTTCTCCTTCAGGCTTTCCTCTCCTTATGTCCCTGTTGCTCTTATGGATCCTATCAAATTTCAACTTTGGAAGGTTAGAAGTTGCAGGACCATCCAAAATTTGAGCAATATGGAAGCCAAATACTCCCTGGCCATGGTTAAGTGTTCCTACCCAGCTGGAAGTGAGGATTGGAGAAGGTTGAGACCTGATTAAGAGGCACTGATAAAGGCAGGATTGAATATCTTCTGGTGTTTTCTGATGAGAGGTCAATACGATTGGCCCTAGGCCATATAATCCTCTTATTGGGGGAGGGGGTGAGGTCCTTGAGCCATGTTCACATTGGCAGAGTCAGAGTCAAGGGCTTGGGAACAAAACAGGTGGAAAGGAGGCTTAGATAGATTATACTGAGTGAAAAGACACATTTGCATTATATTTGAAAAAAGTAAAGATAAGCAAGATGGCTACAGAAGTCTATGTTTGACCAGGTATCCACTGTACCCACTATCTGAAGCAGATAAGAAACATCACTGTACCCTTCTTTATCCTTTTCTTCCTTCAGAGAACTGACCACCTTGGAGAACACATGACCCATTGTGCATGCATTCTGCTAGGTATACAAAAATATTTAAATACAATGGCATAAATTTCATCATCACAATGGCACATTGTGGAACAGTACCTGCAGACTCAGCAGCAATAGTTGAAGTCAATGTCTCTCTAGATAGAAAGGAAGGTGTGGCATCCAGCCCAGTAGTCTCAAAAGAAGAAGAGATTAGTGAAGACCCAGTTGCTGTAGAAGGATGTGTCACTCCAGTGGCTATGAGTGGAAATGAGGCTCCTGTAGTAGTAGAAGTAGTAATGGTTATATTTGGAAGGGAGTCCAGTGTGGGCTTAGGAAGAACTAAAGTAGGGGATGCTGATACAGCTAGGATACTGCTCCGTGAAGATGTTATTGTAGGGCTAGACAGAGGTATGGAACCAATAGACAGGGTGTGGTCAGCTGTAAGAAGTGACATACGCATCCTGCTAAAGGATGGAAGTTGAGACACAGTCCTAGAGTTGGCCATTACAGTGGTTCTGGGGAATGCCCCAGGGGATGTGGAAATGTATACATTGTCATCTGTGATTTTTATAGATACAGGGAGAGAAGTTGGGAAGCCAGTAGTGATACCAGCGAGTGTAGGTGTAGGAGTGGTATTAGTGAGTATGGTGCTTACAGTAGCAAAGGGTAGTGTTGTAAAGTTAGTAAATGGGTGTACTGGTGTTGTGTCAGAAGTTAGAAATGTGGATTTTGACTCCTCTACTGTAGAGGAAGTTATAACTTGAGGCGCTTTGGATACAGTTGCCAGAGGGGAATCTGAAGGGAGATTAGATGAGATCCAAGTCAGCATGGGTAAAGTAGTAGCCTTCGAGATTGTAGATCCTGCGGCAGCACCAGAAGATTTCAATGGAAGTGTGATCCCAGGAGTTACAGATGTTGTTGTCTTCTCAAATGTTTGCTTAATGTCAGCCAAGGTGGTAGGGATAGCTCTTGAAGATGTTGATAATGAAGGACTCTTAGAGAGCCCAAAGGTAGAAAGAATTCCAGATATGGGAACTGATGGCTTTGAGGTAACATCTTCAGATACAAGACCAGTCTGAGAGGCTGTGAATGTTGATAAAGACCCCGGGACAAGTTGTAGAGTTTCTGTTTCCATCGTGTTGGGTGTAGGTCCATGAGCAGTGGTGGAAATTGGAAATTGAGAACCTATAGCTGTGGGAGTGCTCCAAGAAGTCTTAAGCAAAGACTGAGAGTTACTAGATGTTATTGCTGTTACCAGAGCTGGAAATTCAACCATGTGGGATTTAGAAACTGGAGAGGTCTTTGTAGTAGAGAATTCAGCTTCAATACTATGAGGTGAATAAGGAAATGATGTCAAAGAAAGTGGAGTTGCTATGGATGGGGTCAGTGGAGGATATGAAATAGGAGTATTCATTGATGTGGCACTTTTTGTTAGTTCTTCTGTTAAGGAAGTATTTTCTGACAAAGAAGTCATCTTTTCGGTATTAGAAGAAAGGTAAGTGGTGACTTTCACACTTTTTGTGGGTCCAGGAGTGCTGTTAAAGCTAATCAAAGATGGGGAAACCTGAATATTCAAGGAAGTATAGAGATTATCTGAAGGCGTAGACGAAGGCAAGCTTTCAGGGACAACAGTTCTGGAAAAAGTATTTGCGAGAGCTGTCTCTCTACCACTATTCACAGTAGATAGGGAGCTGTGAGTAATCCCAGGTAATATTCTCAGACTTGTAGCCTCATCTCCTTGTGATGGTTGTTGGGCTGTTGACAGAATTGGTGAAAATGTGGTCATTGGGGTGGAAGAAATAGCTTCAGTGTTCTTAGAACTGAGTACAGAGAAAAGAGTGGTGCCTGTCAGTGGAGTCACTATCCCAGCCGTAACAGTGGTTGGGATGGTTTTCACAAATGGAAAAGTTGACTCTTTCAGAGAGGAAAAGGATGTAGGTGTGATGCTGGAAGACATCTTTGTCATTTCCGAAGTAGTGAAAGCAGAGGGAACTATTGTGCCTTTTGCAGAAGGCCCAGCATATGTCACAGGTATGACATCCAATGTAGATGTTTCTATGGTCGTAGCAGTCCTTGGGGTAATTGAAGACGATAAAGTAGGGAATGACCCAACTGTTGTGGAAGTAGCAGGAGAAACCACCACAGGTGAGAAAGCAGAGTCATTAACTGACAGTGAGGATATCTCAGACATAGGCCCAGAAGTGGCTACAACTGAACTCTTCCAACAACCTGGGGATGTTGTTTCACAAGACTGAGTCATTAGAATTGTGGGAGTCTCAGAAACTCTTTTGGAAGTGAAAGAAGTGACATTAATTGGTAGTGAGGACATCTGGGAAATAGGAATAGGTGTTGTCATAGAAGTTTTCCCAAGAAGTGACGTAGGTACATTTGGAACAGAAAAGACTGTAGTGATCCTGTCAGTAGAGATAATAGTAAAACTTTCATTGAATAGTCCAGCTGTGGAAAGAGACAGGGACTCAGGGGAAGTCTGTGTGCTTTCAGAAATAGGGGAGGAAACTGAAGTCATCTCAGGTTGAGTCCTAAGTGAAGGCAAGTGTGAAGTAGTTGTGTTGATGTTCATAAAATTTGATAATCTGGTTGTCCTGGAAGGTGCGGTATCTACAAATGAAGTATCCTGGTTGTATGAGACAAGGTGAGTTACAGAGGTGGGGCTTACTGTCATTTCCACAGATCTGGGAGTATATACTGAAAGGGCACTCATGCTTTCTTTTTCAGGGAACAAAGAAGTGGTGGTTGTCAGAGCTTGTGAAGGGAGATCTGTTTTCCCAAGACTGGTAGACATTTCTGAAATGTGAGCATCTACTATGTTATTTGAGGTCAAGGTAGGTGTAGTCTGTGTGCTCCCAAAAGTGGGGGATGAAGCTGAATTTTCCTCAGGCAGAGTCCCAAGTGGAATCTCTGAAGGTGAATATGTTTGGTGACTGGAAATTTTTAGGGTTTCTGAAAATCCTACATCTGTCATTTCCAAGGATGAAGTACCCTGGGGGTATGAAATAAAGTAATTCTTTGATGGGGACATTTCTATTGTATCTATAGTTCTAGGAGTGTTTCCCAAGGAGGTGATCATCTGCTCTTTGTCAGATAATACAGTAGAGGTGCCTGTCATCAGTAGAGTGGGAACAGGTGTGTTTACAAGACGTGTGGAAGATTGAGAACTGTGAATGTCTACTGAGGTAGTAAGCTTGTTGGCAGAGGTGTGTGAGGGCACGGTCTCGTCAACAATAGAGGTTTCTGTGGTGCCAACAGCCAAGCTAAGAGCATCTGTGCCACCACTCAAAGTATATGGAAAGCTCAGAGCATGGGTAGATGTCTCCAACACTGTAGCCTCTGTCACTTGAGATGCAGACTGAGTTGCTACTGGTCTAGACGTAGTTGAGATCACATGAGTGCAGAACGCAAGAGGAATGTTGTCAGGGAGAGATGTGGAACGGGTAAGAGCACGTGTGGATGGAGTTACTATGTCAGAGGAGGTGGAATGAAGGGTGGTATCAACCTTAGTTGTTATAGGAGTGGGGGGTCTCAGTGAGGGGACTGGAGTTTCTGTCAGAGAGGGAAATGTCATGGGTGTCATCCTGACAGAGATCACTGTGGCCTCTGAAGTGGTGAGAATAGAGTCTCTGTGGGGAGGCATGTTACTGCTAGTTGTGGAAGCAGTCTGACTCAGTGTTGTCACTGATGCTGTGGTCACTGTAGATGATGGCAGAGTTGAGACATCCGAGAGCACAGATGCGGAGAAAGCCCCAGCCGGTGTTGAAGGCTCAGGCGTGGTCGCCTTAGTCTCATCAGACATCATCATAGAGGTGACAGCAGAGCCATTAACTGGCAGTGAGAACATATGGGTAACAGGCCCAGGGGTTGCTGGGGAATGGGTAGATGTAGGCTGTGGAGATAAGGTGCCAGCAGACGAGGACATAGCTGTCCTGTCTGTAGGAATCGTGGCGAAAATGGTTCCAAGTATCCTTGTAGTGGATACATCCGGGAGTTCAGGGAGTGTCCGTGTGTGCCCAGAAGTGGGAGATGGAGCTGAATTCCCCACAGGTGGAGTCTCTGAAGTCCAATGTGCTGCACAGGTGTGGGTGGAATTAAAGATTTCTGTAGTTCCATTGTACGAACTCAAACTCTTAAGTGTGGTTTTCACAGATTTTGTTGTAAACCAACGTCTTTTAACCTCAGTAGTTACAGTTTTATTATCCACTAGGGTAGTAGTCTTTTCTATATTGGGAAAAGGGGAAATGGTGGTCAAGGCTGTCACCATTTGTGCAGACTCATCTGTTACCTCCAGCATTGTTGAAAATGGAGAAACCTCAGCTGTCACTGCTGTAGTTGATTTTCCCGTAAGATAACGGGAAGTTGTTTCTTTTCTTGTCACAGTAGAATTGAAAATTTGTGTTGCCACAGACTTTGGAACAAGGGCTGTTTTCTCTCCAAATGCAATTGTAACGTTTGTTTCTGTTTGTGTGGTCTCAGAAGGGCTCTCCTCAGTAGAAAAATTTGATTTAATGTCAGCAAGGGTAGATTTCGTATCTTCTGGTGGAACAACTGTCTCCCTTGGTGTTGAAAGAAGTTCATTTGCAGCTACTGTGGACATAGGGGTGGTTTTTAGTAGTAAAGTGGTAAGTTTAAACTCAGATGATTTGGGTATAGATGTGGTTCCAGAAACTGTGGAGAAATTAGCAAACCATGGCGATGTCAATCTGGATAGAGCTGTTGCATATCTGGCTGTAGCAGTAATAGCATCAGCAGCGGCAGTAGCCTCGCTCTCTGTGAATGCTTCTGGTGGAGTGATAATATTAGTAGTTGTGGACAAATGCTCTGTATTAGAAATACCCTCATGGAATGCAGATGTGAAATTTTCATTAGGCATGAATGTAAGTATGGTGCTTGTATTTATAGAGGTCAAAAGATTTTGATCTGGCCTGGAAGTCCAAGTGGTCTCATTGGTGGAGAACAGGTGGGCAGCTTCATCAGTTATAGTTGTGGGGCCTGACCCAGATGCCTTGGCTGTGGAAGCTGATCTAGTGGAACTCAAAGGAAACATGTTTTCACCAGATGTGGGCATATTTTGTGTATATACGGGCCCTGTGATTGTGGGGGAAAGAATAGTTTCAGCCACTGTAGGTGCAAGTGTGATTCCAGGAGTTAAGACTGTGAGTGTAGTCTCAGCATCAATAACTGTCTGTACACTCTGAGCTCCAATGAATGGAGAGGACGTCTGGAAAGAAAGGGCCATAGAAGAGGCCTCTTTTGGCATGGAGGTAGATATTGCATCCTCCACTCTGGGTGAAGAGACACCGTGGAAATCTGTAGATGTCAATTCTGTTTCAGCTGTTCTTAGGGCAGGCATGGTCTCAATAGGCCTAGTTGGAAGAGTCATTGAATAAAGTGTAAATGCTATTTCTGTATCAGTTGTTGCCGATGTAGATGTGGTCTGATTTCTAGGAAATACAGAGTCCACTGGAGCAGCTGTGGAGATGAGCTCAGACTTAGGTGGGAAAGCTGATGCAGTCCCAATGTGAGTAGTTGTAGCTGAAATCTGTTCCACTGTGGACCAAGGCACAGTTCCAGCAGCTGAAGATGCAAGAAACACCTGTCCAGCTGTAGAGATAGGGAGTGCCCCAATATCTGTGGATTTGTGTTTGGGCCAAGATGTTGTAGACATGGATGTTGACTCAATAGATGAGAATAAAGATGTTGCCTTCGTAATGGCAGACTGAGATCTAGTTGCTGAAGTTTTAGATACAACTGAATTATTGGTAAACCCAGATGTGTAGAGAAGATCAGTAGCCGTAGTTTGATGGAAGGTCTCAGAAGCAATGGCTTCAGCCATTTCTGTTGTCATCGTCGTTTCTGACGATGGGGATTTACTTGTTTTCATGGAATTGTTAGTAGTAATTATGGATGTACTCTTGGTAGGCAGAGTGATGGCTGCTGAAGTAAGTAACGTATCTGCTGCTAACGTAGATATCTTAGCTATGGATGGCTTAAAATTTTTTGATGCAGTTGTTGTTCCCAGAGGTGGAGACGTTGTGTTGGAATATGATATGGTTTTACAGTCAGCTGCAAACACAGGTATACTTTTAGACATCACTGTAGAGGAATATAGAGTCTTTTGTGGTTTTAGTCCAGTAATTTGGGATAGAGTTGTCGAATCTATTTGTTGTGAAAGAGTTGTACTTGTTCCTTGAATTGTTGTATTATCAGAAACAACTGAAAAATGAGAAAGCATGTGTTACTTTGTACTCAGCTTTACAAATCAGAGACAATTATTTAAGAAAGTTCTCTATAATTTGTTCACATATTTTTAAGAGGAAATAATCAGATATAATCAAATCACTGGATTACTTGGTTTTTCTCTAGATGATTTTGGAAATAATCAGATATAATCAAATCCCTGGATTACTTGGTTTTTCTCTAGATGATTTTCCACTTTCTAAAGTCTCTACAGGAGCCCTGGTGGCACAGTGGTTAAGAGCTCAGCTACTAACCAAAAGGTCATCATTTGGAATCCACCAGCAGCCCCTTGGAAACCCTATGGGCCAGTTCTACTCTGTCCTATAGGGTCACTATGAGTCAGAATCGACTTTATGGCAGTGGGTTTGTTTTTTTTTTTTTTTTTTTTTTTAAGTCTCTACATGGTTCTCATAGTGTGCTGGTTAAGTAACTAGTAGGAGGCCATTCATTTCATAATGTCTCCATAAATGATATAGCCACTCCTATAAGAGGGATGTGTGCTAGTGTAGTGCACTAATTAAGAGGATCATTTTTGGGAAATGGACCGATTAATTCCTCAAAAGACACAGCTGTAAAAACTCACTCAGGAAGAAATGTATAATCTTAATAGTCCTATATTTATTAACAAAATTAAATTTCGTAGTTAAAAATCTTCCCAAATCCAACTTTGGGTTCAGATAGATACAGTTTCAAATCCTGGATCCATCATTTATTCATTAGGTGGCCTTAGGTGTGCCTCAATTTCCTCTTCTATAATGTGAGGATTACAATAATACCTACCTCATAAAATTGTTGTGAGAATTAAGTATATTAATGCATGTAAAGCACTTAGCATAGTGCTGAGCACTTAGCAAGCATTCAAAAAATAGTTAACTGTTGTCAGTAAGGAAACCCTGGTGGCATAGTGGTTAAGAGCTATGGCTGCTAACCAAAAGGTTGGCAGTTTGGATTCACCAGGTGCTCCTTGGAAACCCTATGGGGCAGTTCTACTCTGTCCTATAGGGTCGCTATGAATCAGAATTGACTTGACAGCAACAAGTTTGGTTATTTTGACTACTTGGTTGTCAGTAAAGACTTGATACTTTAGACTTGGTCAAATTTCTATCACTCATCTACACACTATAGATTGAAAATGTTTTGATCTGGAGCCCCAAAATTAAAATTTTTTTTAACATACACCACTTATGTATATTTGTTTATCAGTAATGCATACATGTGTATACCAAACCACCAAACTCGTTGCCGTCAAGTCGATTCCAACTCACAGCAACCCCATAGGACAGAGTAGACTGCCCCACAGGGTTTCCAAGGAGTGGCTGGGGGATTCAAACTGCCAACCTCTTGGTTAGCAGCCGAGTTCTTAACCACTGCGCCACCAGGGCTCCATACATGTGTAGAGGTATTATAAATATATACTACATACATTATAAACATACACAAAAAATAGAAATTTCAAAAGGGTGTGATAAAAATAAATATAAATAAAATTTACAATATTTTCTGCCTGTATACTAATAGACTGTTTTTTGCATCCCTTACAATGTCTGCACCCCACTTTGAAGACCACTAGAGTCTAGTTTGTGCCTCAATTCAAGTCAATTAAATTTAACAAGTATTGTGAATACTATTCTAGGCCCTGTGAGAAGTGCTGAGCGTTTATGGCATGATTTCTTCTCTCCAAGAGCTCACACTCTTATTGGAAAAGTCTTACATTACTGAAATATTTTTTAAATATATAAGATAATATATTTTTTAAAAATACACTAAAATACTAATACAGTTTATAATAAAGTGAGCAATGGAATATAATCAGGTTCCAAATGTCTCTCAAGTGCAATGGAAAGTTAGTGCAGCAAGAAATCAATGCTGGCTTCAAGCTAATGAGGAAGGTTTCTCTTAGAAAATGTAGGCCTTTGAGAAATGCTGGGATTTGGTAAGAGAAGGCAAAGGCACAATGGCAATGAATTTGGGAGCAGGAAAAAATCAGTCTAGCTGGGAGTAGGAAGAAGCGTGTTAGACAGGAGTGAGAAAGAATGTCAGACTAGGAGAGGACCTGAAGGAGAGAGTGAGGAGATAGATGAGAGCAGACAATATTATAGCAGATTCCATGTATTGAGCACCTAGTACAAGCCAAGTACTGTGCTACATACTCGCTCATTTAATGCCCTAAGAACCTTGTGAGGAAGATATTACAATTATCCCCATTTTAGAGTTGAAGAAACGAAGTGTCAGAAACTTTACTTGAATTACTCAAGTTCACACTTGGAATTCAAACCAAGGTCTAACATCTGTGCTCTTAACTACTACACTATTTGGAAGGATACAAATTCTCGATCAAGGGGAATGAGATGATAAACAGTAGTCTTTAAGGAAAATGAATTTCATGGCCATATACCATAAAGATGTTTACCTGTGTTTTATTGACTATGCAAAGTTATATGACTGTGTGGATCATAACAAATTATGGATAACATTGTGAAGAATGGGAATTTAAGAACACTTAATTGTGCTCATGAGGAACCTGTACATAGATCAAGAGGCAGTCATTCGAACAGAACAAAGGGATACTTCGTGGTTTAAAGTCAAGAAAGGTGTGCGTCAGGGTTGTATCCTTTCACCATACCTATTCAATCTGTATGCTAAGCAAATAATCCGAGAAACTGGACTATATGAAGAAGAGTGGGGCATCAGGATTGGAGGAAGACTCATTAACAGCCTGCGTTATGCAGATGACACAACTTTGCTTGCTGAAAGTGAAGAGGACTTGAAGCATTTACTGATGAAGATCAAAGACCACAGCCTTCAGTACGGATTACACCTCAATTTAAAGAAAACAAAAATCCTCACAACTGGACCAGTAAGCAACGTTATGATAAACGGAGAAAAGACTGAAGTTGTCAAGGATCTCATTTTACTTGGATCCACAATCAACATCCATGGAAGCAGCAGTCAAGAAATCAAAAGATGCATTGCACCGGGCCAATCTGTTGCAAAAGACCTCTTTAAAACGTTGAAAAGCAAAGATGCCACCTTGAGGACTAAGGTGCGCCTGACCCAAGCCATGGTGTTTTCAATCGCCTCATATGCATGTGAAAGCTGGATGATGAATAAGGAAGACCGAAGAAGAACTGA